ACACACACACACACACACACACACACACACACACACACACACACCCTCCCCAGCCATCCACACCCCGGAACCCGGCAGCCACCCCGGCCAGAGGGCCACCCACAGGAACCAAGAGCCACACCTCAGGAGACCAAGCAGCACCAGGGAGGATGGAGAGCCAGCCCCGCCCCCGGCAACCGTCCAAGCCCCGAGCCCACCCACAGCCCAGGACTGCACCCGGCGCCCCGTACTTCTTCAGGACTCCCTCCCCAAATGGCAGTCGGGGAAACTGTAGACAAATACTAAAACATAAAACCAATCTGCTTGTGACCTTTGTTTTTCCTTCTAGTCTCTTCTGCTGCTTAGCTGAAACATAAAAATCTTGATGCAAAACATTTGGTAATGTGACAAAAAAAAACACATCACACTTCAAAAAATACWATTTCTGCAAATACATAAAGAAAATCAGAACTAATTAGCTTGTTGTTGGGGGGGTACAAAGTGGGCAGCCACAGTATTAACAAGTTTTATAAGACAGCAAATCTGGGAAAAACAAAAATACAATTTAAAATAAAACTACTTACCAGAACTTAAAATGCTAAGTAAATCAATTCAAATAGTCTGTTTTTAGTTTTTCAGGAACTCAAATTTGCAGTCACCTGTGCTGAGGGTTGGTGTATTTGAGGAGCTCAGCCAGTTGTAATGGATACTTGCAGATCTTCTGAACTGGAGTGAGCAGGAAGCCGTCCAATGAGATGTCAATCATCTTCTGAAGCAGACGACAGGCCTCAAAAAAGAACACATACTTGTTGACCTTCATCAGCTTGGAGATCTGGATGCAGGCGTTGGGGTGGTTGTTRCAGTATTCTGAGTAGATCTGGAAATCTGTTTGCTGCACGTGGAGGACAACAGGAGAGTGATTTGAAGTGAGACAAGGGTGACTAACGTGGGTCAGAAAGATCATATCTCAACTAATGCAATGAATAATTTACATTTTTAAACATCTTTTTCTTCTTTTTTGTAAAATGGAGCAGGTAAAACAAACAAACAAAAAACACCCCTTTAAAGAAACATAMATAAGGCATGTACTCCTAAGTGTATTTTGAATACATAAATACACTATACATAKTACGTATAAACAAGTACATACCAAGTATGTACCAGTTAAGTACCAATATGTAAATACAGTAAATATTATGTACCCATTACTTACTAGTTATGTACCTATTGCATATCTAAGATGTACCCCATATGCACCAGGTAAATACCCTCTACRTAGGTGGTACATACCAAGTACATACCAGGTACCTAGTAAGTACAAGGTAAGTACACGGTACATACCAGGTTCTTTATTATATTGCTACTCTATTTTGTCAATTAATCAAAATCCGCGACAGCGTGGTAAAAAAATAAACTGTCAGTCAGTAGACTAAAGCTGCTTCTGTTCACTTGGATTAAACAAACTCACGTGATCCAGGAAACAACAGCCGATCTCGCTGAGATGTGGCTGCTCCTTGTTGAACTTTTTCTCCAGGCCTTTCAAAAACTTCCTCTGGAATCGGTAGATTTCTTCAATGTTGCCAAAGATTGTACGGACATGCTCCTCAGTGAACATGTCTGTCCTCTTACGGCACTGTTTGATGTAACCCTGAACAAAACAAAACATAGTTTGCTTTTTGAATTTTCTAAAAAAAAAAAAAAAGAAAAAAACTGGGGGAAAACATCTATAGTTCATATTTATGTTAGTTTACTGACAAACAGGAAACAGAGGATGGCAGGCAATGGGAAAATATGTTTAATGGTTAAGAGTTATGTTTAGTTGGACTAATTATGGCCAAAAAGCAAAAGAAAGTCTTCAAATCAGACCTCACAAATGTCTTTCAGGTGTTTGATGTAATCTCGCTCKGTGCTCATGATCTCATTGATGACGTTGGCTCTCATCTGTTCTTTGCAGGGTAAACCAGGTCCTAAAATTAATCCCAGACTTGKTCGTTCTTCATCTCCAGCTTGGGCCCCCTCCAGACTGGCCAGATATTCCTCCACAGGTTCATCCTGATTCACACGCAACTGAAGAACACACAGAGTTAAAACCTCAGTGAGAAATCAGATTTTCCTACTATAAAAACTATTTGTTTACAGTTTTGCAAGTGATTCCATGAGAGTAAAGTATTCTGTGTGTAGTGGAATTTATGTTTTCTGTAGAAGAATAATAAATTTTTGAGATGGGTTTTTATATTAAAGCCTCATCAAAAGTTCAAATATTTACTACCAGTGATTCACTAAGGTCACCATGGTAACCACACACCAGTTTCTCACTCCCTGACTGCCAAGTTAAGCCTAAACAGTTGTTGTGTAAAGACTAAAAATTTAGAGCGTACATTTTTTTTTAAACGTGAGCTGCAGAGACCCTGAGGGTTCATTTTTCAGCATTGAAATCTACATAATATAATGGTCGWCAATCCGGRATTTCGGGGTGCGYTTTTTACCTCTGTGTATGGGTGACTTCCGTCCAACACGATTTTTTTATTTTATWTTTTTTACTTAATATGAAATTTGTTTAACTTAATATGAAAATAGTTTTTATATCAACCATAAACTTTAAATTGTGTTAAAATGCAGTTTCTGAGCAGGAAATACCACGTAGAGCTCAGTTGGTATTTGTTAGCAGTGCTCAGCCATATAAACGAGAYGAGGAAGGTGAAGTTTTGTGTTTAGTTGAAGCTAAATATGAAACGTTAAAGTTAATTACAACTGGCCCTTTGAGGGTCACCATAACACTCTTGCAGCCCTCAGTGAAAATATGTTTGACACCCCTGGTCTACATCGTGCAACATAACACAATGAAGAATCAAGCCCATTGTTCCAGATGAAACCATATGTTATGATGTACAATGCACATGTTTTACATAAAGCACTACAACATACTCTACTCTCTCACCCCCGTCTGCGATCTGGTTCCTGGAGCAAGCTGAGGGCCGCATAGAATGAACAGTTACCATCTATTTACTAAACTATGGCTGCGCAGGTTTTTGGGGACAGGATTCTTCAGGCTTATTCTTCAGATATTCACACAAGTGCATACAACATTCATGGCTTCAGATACACGCCCCCCTAAACTCACACTCCTCTGGCTAATAAATGTGCTCTATGCAGAGTTTTTTTTTTTTATATAAACGCCATAGTGTGTCACAGTGTTGATATAATATGATGTTTTTTCCCCCTCATCTTCCCTTGTGTAGTTTTTAGTTTTTCTGTTAACGGTTGCACCTCCTCATGATGTCTTCATGAAGATGATCCTTGCTCTGTGCAGGGTCTGTGGCTGCATGAACCAGGGCACCTGTTCTCCTATGTTTGTTATGTTCTGTCTTCTTGTGAATGGGTGTTCTGAACTGTAATTTCATTGTGCTCTGTACGATGACAATAAAGGTCTATCTACTTTATCTACAAAACAGTTAAAGCAAGTAATAAGTATGCATTAAAGCATATGCCCTTTTACTTAAAACAGTTTTTATAGTTAGCTTTGGACACAGGGACACATACAAGTTTATACTTATCGGATCTTTAACCTTTAAGCTGGTTTTGTGTCAAACTAGCATTATTCTGTATGTGTCCCACTCCCCTGCGTACCCCCCACCCCACCCCCCCAATTGGAGCTGTGGATGATCTTCTATTTCCTAACCCACCTCAGTCTCACATGTAATACCATTGTAGGATGAAAGCATCTCAGGCCTGGTTTGAAATATTTTGTGTGAAAGAGACTWTTGATAAAAGGCTGAGGCCTCACATAACTTCCAGCCTGAATCATTATTCTAACACTGTGGTAAAGCCCACATAGCTGGTATGTGCCAGCAGCTAGGACAGAGTTTAACTCACCCGTACAAAGCTGGCAGGAAACCAGCCCTCACTGTCCATAATGCGGCCCCACCACCACTCCTTGTTAGTGGCATCTACCACTTCGATGACATCACCAACTTTGAAGCCAAGCTCTTGCACATCCATGGTAACATGGTCCCAGAGGGCTTCAGCGTACACCACACTGCCATCACTGATCAGCTGAAAAGGAAGCACCAAAGAAGAGTTATAGGGGTCTGGTAAATGGATTTGAAACAGTTTGTGCCATAAAATGAATRTAAAGAGCAGTGTCTAGTTGTCAAAACTTTGAGTCAAAGCTTGGTTTTACTGGTTTAACGCAACAAGATAACATTTATAGCCTACAGACTAATCCCCTTTGGCACCACTAACCCCCTTGACGGGTTTAAATCACATCTTTCTGACTTCTATGTTAGTATTTTCTGTTAATCTTACCTTCATTTCTACTGTTATGCAGATAACACCCCCCTGCTCCATCTTTTCAGCAAACCTGATTTAATCCTCCCATACCAACTGCCTTAATGAACTCAAATCCTGGTTCTCTTCAAACTTCCTTAAATTTAATAGTGATAAAACTGAATTCCTACTCATCGGAACAAAATTAATGTCATCCAAAGCTGACAGTTTTCCCAATCTATTAGACAAATTCCTTGTTTCCCCTCCCTACATCTTATATCACTCATATGCCTGTCTATTGTCTTATCTCCTGTATTAATTATTATAATTATATTMTTTTTGGTCTTCTCCTTCAGAAACTTCAACTGATTCAGAATTCCTAAGCTCGTATCATCACGGTACTCCTCCTCAAGGCATGTTAAACCTATTCTGTACAAGCTTCACTGGTTACCAGTCAAACTATTCTGCTCTTAAAATCATTTATAATCCGTTTTTTTAGGAATAAAAGGGTCATTTTGATTTTGAAGACAGCAACACATTTCTAAAATATTCCAGGTGAAGCAGCTCCTCTTTTWTAACAACAGTCTKTAAACATTTARAAACYGAGACCAGCTGCTAGAGTTTTTGGAAAGGAAAGTTGTCCCATTCTTGTCTGATGTAGGATTTSARTTGCTCAATAGTTCTWGTSCTTCTCTGCCAGATTTTTTGTTTCATGATGCCCAAATATTTTCAGTCTGTTTTAAGTCTGGACTGCAGTTAACCAAGTTCAGCACCCGGACTCTTCTACTAAGCCATACTGTTGTAATGGATGCAGTATGCTGTTCAGCATTGTTTTGCTGAATTATGCAAAGTCCTCCCTGAAAAGGACGTAATCTGGATGGGAGCTTATGTTGTTACAAAACCTGTATATACATTTATGCATTGGTGAAGCCTTTCCAGGAGCATAAGCTASGTATAACAGAGGCACTAATGAACCCACAAGTARTCAGAGAGGCAGGCTTTTGAACTGTGCACTGMTAACAATGTTTGCTCTCCTTTTCCGCACCGGTAGCATCCAAAAATGAATTTTAAATCTGAACAGTTTTCCTTCTTTGCCTCAGTCCATTATAATTGAGCTTTGGTTCAGAGAAGACAACAATATTTCTGGATGGCGGACACACATGGAATTTTCTTTGCATGATAGAGCTTTAACCTTCTTTTGTGGATGGATTTGCTCTGTCTTTTGTAAGATATAATGCTGCCATCAAATTCAAAACATTTTTTAGAAATTAAAATATACAGTTTAGCCTGGTTAAACTTTTTTAATTTTGTTTAAATCTCACACCTCATCATGTTGGACGTTTCAAAACATCTGTATAGAGAGAAAGAAAAAGCTTCTCCTTTGAGCAGCACTCAGATACAAGGCAGAGACTGAAAATGTAGGGAAACTGAACCACTTCTAATGGTGAAGAAACAGCAAAAGAAAAAAAGAAAGAAAATCTAAGAGCTGTATGTTTACAGCACATTCAGTCATGCTAATCTAAAAGCTGTAACAGGGTCACCACAGAGTGTGTTACATCAGCTGTTTTAACACATMGACCAGAAAGAAACATATTTACTCCAACTATCTTCTGTAAATAAAAGAGATGCTTTGTTTTAACACTCACTTGTTAAAAAAACAATCTTATCAACACCAAATGCTCTCTATATATTCATGTTTACTCTGTGAAACATCTGTATTGTTGTAAAAAAATACTAAAATCTTTAAATTACAACTGTTGATAGCATGCATGATGAGACATTTTAGGCTCATGTTTTCTCTAGATTCTCTTGGATTTTAGAGACGAAATATAATTATGTTTTWATCCTGCATGAAGCACGATCAGATGCCCAACTCTTTTTCCGTACAAACAACAAAATTAGTGAAACTTTGATAACTAAAGCCAAGATTAGCTGAACAAATGAGTGACAACAACAAAAAAAATCMTTGTGTTCTTGTTGATGGATTAAAAGCAGAGGTGTTTCTGCTGACCCAAATGAAAACACATCAGGCCTTTTCTTATGAAATCATGCTCCTTTTCATCTGGTTGTACCTGTGATCTGCTGCTGGCAGGCTGAACACCCATCAGACTGAGCAGCCTGTCAGGAGGCTCCTCTTGCGTCTCAGATTATCTGGTTTTCTCTTCTATCCAGCGCGTGCATGTGTCAGCTCAGGTGTGTGTGTGTGTGTGTGTGTGTGTGTGAGAGAGAGGGAAAGAGAAAAATACAGATGTGTATGTGCACTCTACTGGAAGGCCAGCAGGAACATGAGCACCACGTTGATGATGATAAGCAGCATCATGATGAGGAACACGACCACCTTCTGTGTATCCGGGGGCAGGTTACAGCGCAGCAGGGTGTTAAAGAACCCCATCTTCTGCCTGCTCCACCTCCCAGAGCCGCTGCCACGAGCCATCAGTCCCCTGGTCTCCTCCTCTTCCTCCTCCTCGGCTCTGCCGCCCCTCCCCTGTCGCCTGTCCCTCAGCGCCAAGCCTCCACACCACACCGTGTCCCCTCGTCCCACCGCTCGACTCCCTCCGCTGTTGTCCTCTAGTGCTGCTCTCCACCTCGGCTTGGCTTCGACAGTCACCTCCCCTGYTTCTCCTGCCACTTTGCCGATGCCCAGCGGTGCCCCGGCCTGCCGGTGGAGGCTCGGTGCCGAACCGTGTCAGTGGGTATGAATCCGTGCGTGCTCAGCACCCCCGATCATTTCTATTTACGCTGCTGGTCTTTGTGGTAAAGGCACCTCTTCTGGCTCTCTTCTTTCTGTCTGCAGTCAGTTAATATATATATAGTTTGCCTTTGGTTCCTCTTTTCACACTCCGTCTTGGTCAGGATCTCAGGATGGAAGCTGGGGGATGGGATTGTGCATCTCTTCGGTACATGATCACGCCTCCCCCTCGTTTCTCTGCTCCTCGTTTTTATCTGTCTGTCCGACGGTGTTCCAGTACGTTCTTCTTTCACTTTCTCCTGCTCACGCTCCAAACCAAGCGGCCATTTGTTCTCCGTCTGGCTTTTTTCTCTCTCAGCACTTATCTCGTTCTAAAATGGAGCTCAGCGCTGCCTGGATCTGTGCTACCTCAGCCATCCATCTAACTACCAGAATAACAGCCTTTCTTTTTTTTTTCCTCCCTTCCTTTCCTTCTTTTTCATTTTTTATTTTTGTGGGCCCACCCTTTACCATTGCTGGCAGCCAATCAGAATGCACAGTGTGTCATCATATCCTGGATACCAGCGTAGTTGATGCAAGGCCATAGCAACCCCTGGGACAGGAGCAACTCGAGTGGGGGGTGGGGTATCAGGATGATAGAAATAAAGCTGCAGAGGAGGGATGCAGGCTGGAAAATAGATCTCACGGTGAAGAGCACATGTGGCTGGATCTAATATTGAATGTTGTCATAGTAATGACAACGGTAAATGTAATATTTTCACTTTTTAAAAGAAAATTTGCAGTCGAATGACATTTATGTTTATGTTTTAAGTCTTAGGAAAAAAACTAATCCCAAAAACTTTTGTATAATTCGTTAGGCAGCACTGGAGCATGATTCCTTTTCGGGGTTTTGATGAACAACTATCAAGTTTCAATTAAAAAAAGAAAGAAATCCTAATATATACATTACATGCTAAATCAATTGGAACTATTTCAGTAATCATGTTCAATTAGTTACAAATGCAACCCAAATGTGCAAAGTAGGGATGTGCATTTTAAAGACGAACACTCACTAAATTCATCTGCAATTATTAAAATCCAACATCCACCATAATAGTCCCAAGTACTACTTTAGTAGAATATGATGGTTTAGGGCTGTGCGGTATGTGCAGTAGACGGTATAAACGATATAAAGTTGGCCTACGGTAGAAATTTACCCTCTACCRTCCTGTTGTCAGTTATGTCATCACACCTGTGTCAACAGGGCTGTGAGTGCAGAGACAACTGAGCAGGAGGAGTTTGAAACATAATGAAGACATATAGCGTTTTAAAACACGTATAGAGAGAATAAATCCTCAAAATTTCTCCCTCCCGCTGCACATCGCACAGAGCGAAGCTTTAACAACTGTATTTTTTTCACACCCAAGTTGTCGGAGAAAAAACTTGTTTTTATGTATTGTTACTCACAGAGATGATAAAAAAATGTGGACGTTTGTTCAGTCATAAATCCATCTCGCTAACTCGTAAACTTGTAAATTCGGCTTCTGCTCTGATGAAGAAGATGATGAAGATGAGAGCACAGCAGAGCAGCAGTGGGTCAGTTCAGCAGGCAGAAGCTCATTGTATGGCAGGCAGGTGTTACATTTATTTGGCTTCACCACACATATTCTAGTTATCTGAAATTGTTTTATGRCAGGACTATGTGCAGCTTAAGCCCCTTAAGGTCCTGTCAGACTATAAAATTTTAGGCAAAATTGAATTTTTTATGTCTAAATTAATTTTACTTGAAGTTCTGGTTATAACATCCACTTTATTTTGATATTGTTGAAAATTTGAGAAATGTTTTTGTTCGTTGTTGAAACCGTTTTGCAATATATATAAAACATTCTTTTGTACTTATGTTATGTTCATTTGCACTACAGCAAAAATACTAGGTTTGATTATGGTTACAGTTTTCTGCAAAATAACTGCTATAAAAATTACATTATCTTTGCTTTTTATGACAATTTTCTACCACRATATATACRTTACCATGAAGGGATTCAATTTATACCGTGATATGAATTTGAGGTCATACCGCCCAGCMCTACGATGGTTGTACGTTTGTTTTGCATATGGGCAACGAAAGTGTCAAAAAATAATTTTAAATACAAAACCAGTCATGGAAACACCCAAGCACACTGCTGATGATTACAGAAGACTGATGACGCCATGCTTGGAATGGAGCACAGACAGGAGAGAGTTCTCTAGTTAGAGGTGTATGCTTGTGAGGATCATATCAGTGGAGGAATTTGAAGTGAACAGAATTAACATTATATTCAAAATAATTTGATTATAAGGACTATTTGCTGATGATTTTGCAGATCATGGATGCACCAAATCATTCAAATCACATGACCAATTTCAGTTGCTKTAAGAAAAACGACAGCCTCTCTGAGACTGCCTCTTAATTAGTGTCAAATAAAAAAATTTACAGTATACGCCAGTTTTTAAATTGTGTATAGGCCAAGTAAAACCAGAGTCATAATAAATAACTCACGCCACATATTTTTTTCTGAAAATGATCCGTCATGTATCAAGCATGTTTGAGCTGGAAGCAACAGTAAAGAAAATACCAACATAGCCCCCCGGTTGGATCCCAGCACCCCCACTGAACTATCAATCATACTACCACCCCCTTTCTGACGGAGGCCCAAAGGTGTTTGTCGAGCACCAAATAATCTACAGAAAGAAGAAAAAACTATGCATCCATTGAAGGGAGTTTGGCAGGTGATAGAGACACAGTGAGAGCTCAGCACAATCACTGCTACAATCTGAGAGCTCTACATATCACTACTGAGAGCTCTACATATCACTATCATAAACTGAGAGCTCTACATATCACTACTGAGAGCTCTACATATCACTATCACTATCTGAGAGCTCTTCATATCTCTATCACAATCTGAGAGCTCTACATATCACTACTGAGAGCTCTACATATCTCTATCACAATCTGAGAGCTCTACATATCACTACCACAGTTTGAGAGCTCTACATTATCTCTATCACAATCTGAGAGCTCTACATATCACTATCACTATCTAAGAGCTTTTCATATCACTACTGAGAGCTCTACATATCACTATCTGAGAGCTCTACGTATCACTACTGAGAGCTCTACATATCACTATCACTATCTGAGAGCTCTACATATCACTACCACAGTCTGAGAGCTCTACATTATCTCTATCACTATCTGAGAGCTCTAAATCATCACTGCTACAATCTGAGAGCTCTACATATCACTACCACAATCTGAGGGCTCTATATCATCACTACCACAGTCTAAAAACTACATTATCATTACCACAATTGCTGAGCTCTACATTGTCACTACCACAGTCTGAGAGCTCTATATTATCACTATCACAATCTGAGAGCTCTAAATCATCACAGCCACAATCTGAGAGCTCTACCTTATCACCACCACAGTCTAGGAACTCTACATTATCACTACCATAATCTGAGAACTCTACATTATCACTACCATAATCTGAGAACTCTACATTATCACCACCATAATCTGAGAACTCTACATTATCACCACCATAATCTGAGAACTCTACATTATCACCACCATAATCTGAGAACTCTACATTATCACCACCATAATCTGAGAACTCTACATTATCACCACCATAATCTGAGAACKCTACATTATCACCACCATAATCTGAGAGCTCTGCATTATCACCACCATAATCTGAGAGCTCTGCATTATCACTACCACATTCTGAGAGCTCTACATTATCCTTTCCACAATCTGAGAGTTCCATGCTACAAATGCTACAGTCTAAGAGCTTTATGCCATCACTACCACATCCTGAGATTAATAATGTTGGTTTTTCTCCACGTTAGTTTGTTAAAACTAACAAAAATGTTGGAGTCAAGCCTGTTTATTACCAGAATATCTTGTGAACCATTTGATGGATTCTACAAAAACTCATTCACAGGAGTCATTTGATTAACATTTACATTCAATTTTTCGAGTCAATTCATATTAAGATGACATCAACATTAGACAACACAAAAAAACTGGTATAGGTACAGGAGTAGCCAAGATATGTAGATTTTTTTAACATTAGACAATCCTGATCAAGTGACAAATCCTGACAAATAAGTCTGGAATTTTGGCAGCTTTGTGGGGGACAAACTTTTTTTTAAAAAAAGGTCAAATCTAGTCCACAGGTCAGTAGTTGAATAGGCCTGTAGTACATTATGAAATGCAAACTTTAAAAACTCAAACAATTATGAGTACCTCATTGATAGCAAGCTGTTCTCCTCCACCTCCTCCTGGGTGTCCAAATCGATGTCCAGAACCACGAAAATCTTCATACAGAAAATCTTCTTCACTGCCCAGATCATCACAGACCCCTGACTTCTCTGATATCCCATCAGGAACAACCACCGCTGAGACAACAGGAGAAAGGTAAAGAAAAAACAGACAAGACAAAGTCAGTGTTTTCTTGTCATGTATGAACCACACAATATGAACCAACATTTATTCAGAAAAGCATCAAATCAATAGAGTTGGGACCAATCAGATCCAATACAACCACCAGTCCATCCATCTATCCTGTTAATGAATGTATGATAAAGATGCTTCATTGACCCAACATTACAATCATAAACACTTTATAAAAGCACAGTACTACAGAWAATACCAAGAACCACTGCAAAAAATGTAAGGGTATGCAAAATAGATATGAAGGTTTTGAGCTCCGACAGTCATTTATTAATCTAAAGGAAGTCAATCACATCTGATAAGCTGGAAGCATTTTATACACCAACTGCAATGTAAAACAATATCGTTCAAAATAATAATATAGTTTATAAAGCTACAGTAAATACTGTTTATGCATAACGAGTGGTGTTCAAGTGGTGCTCACATAAAGAAAGGCAGTGTTTGTTTCCTCTCATCACAGATATGCTTTAAAGTGTTTGCAGCTACCTGTCTTATGAGCTAAAAATACACTCGCTGTCACACCTCTTCACAGGCTTAACTCCTGCCTGCCTTGTCAACAGCTGTTTCCATGGAGGAAATATGACATTTGGTAAGCATAGACTGAACAAGTGGATGGCAGTACTGTGTTGTTTTATTTTTACTTGACTAAATAGGAATAAAACCTTATCCTACAAAGTAAACTTTTCTCATTGCTCTTGAGTGAAACCAAACAGGAGCATCTCAGACAAAGAGAAACAGCAGGATGTTGTCCACTGGCTGTTCCAGCAGTGGACTGAGGAGGGCAGTGTTGCACACCATGTCTGGTGATATGTGCATCTGTAGAGGTGGAAAAGCTATGTGCAGGTATACAACACTTGGCTTTAGAAAACATTAAAAATAAAGAAACATAATTGCTATAGTCGGTCACAATTACCTTTTTTTTAGATCAAACAGAGGAACAAATTCTGGAATCATTGAAATTTGCTGTTTTAAAAAAGCATATGCATCAAAATAAATCTGCTAACTAGCATAAATTAAAAAAGAGTGCTCACACCTTGAAGAGGTGCAAAGCCGATTCGCATGAATAATGGCTCCAACATAAAACATATGAGCTGAAACAAAGGAAAGAACTATAAAACATCTTCTAAAGGGTGGATCGCCATGAAATGTTGTAAACGATGATGGTTGTTCCAAGTCAACTGTGTCTACAATATGTCATTTATTTTTTATATAAAATAAAACAATGGAAAGAACATCCTTCAGGAGTGACAACGCCATCATTCGTGTCAGATAAATGTCTTCAGTTAATGCTGCCTTTTAATTTGTAGCTCATTCAGGTACACCTTGCCAAACATAAATTAGAATGAACAGAAACTATCTGGTATGAGAAATAACACAATCAGTAAGAACTTATGCAGCTCACACACACAATCCTAAACTGTCCTGTTTCCTCCTTGTATCTCTCACTCTGTGGGTCATCCTGTCCTTTAGAAAAGTGGACGTGTTAACACTTATGTGCTGGTGGGATAAAAAAACAGTCTTGATGTGAAGTGGTTTGTGTGTAAARACAAAAAAACATTAAGCTGAATCAGCTCTGATAGTGAGTTCTGACTGTAGCATTCAATCATCCTGAGCCTCTGAAAGTAGGTTAGACACAGTGGATCAGACGTGACTGCWTGGAGAGCATTCAGCAATGACTGGCATTAATGTGTGTCTCTGTGCGTGTGTGTTTGTCTGTGTGCGTGTGTGTACAGATGGGGAATTCAAGCGTAATGGTTGCGTTTTCATTAGTGTGTGTGTGTGTGCTGAATTGTGTCACATGTCTAATAGCAATACGTGACTGGACATCCTCATAGAACAGCCAGTATTCATCCTGCCTTCCAGGGTAGGAAAAGAGGTGTGTGTGTGTGTGTGTGTGTGTGTGTGTGTGTGTGTGTGTGTGTGTGTGTGTGTGTGTGTACTTTCAACTAAAATTCAGAAACATTCCATTTGTCAAGCCCAAACTGCATTTTTCTCAGCAGCTGCACATTCATCAACATCCAACACACATACGTATTTTCCCTTTCTTGGCACATATTTTCCAGTGGGCTCTGTACAGGCTGAGTTCATTTTTGAGCTCCAACAAGTTCTTAAGGAGAACAACTAGTTCTAACATTATTTTATAAACTTTACTTCAACTAAGAAACATTACCTAAAAGCTAAAGCCAGGAAAACAGTGGTTAAAAGCTATTAATAGCAAAACTATAGTTTAAAGCCAAAATTAGCGGAACAGTAGCTAAAAGCTCAAACTACCAAAACAGTGACTAAAAGCTAATTCTAGCAAAACTGTAGCTTAAATCTAAAATGAGTGGAACAGTTCAAAAGCTCAAATTATCAAAGCAGGAGCTAAAAGTCAGATTGTGCAAAATAGTAGTTAAAAACAATACTTTAAAAATACTGCGTGCTTTTTCAATTCAGTTAAATTCAGTTTATTCATACAGCACCAAATCACAACAAATGTTGTCTCAGGGCACTGTACACAAACAACAAATCAAAAAAAGCCAACAGAATGCTTTAGCTTTTTTCCTTTCATGCAAGCTAACCCCACATATATTAGTAATATACATATGGTGTTAGCTTTCAAATTAATAATATTAGCTTGGGAGGTTATACCACATATTTACCAGTAATATATATTTAATATATGATAATTTAGAGGTAATTTACTTAACATCATGTTTGATTGTTTCAACTCATATATTGTGCAGAACATAGAAACTAATAAATCTTTATTGTCACACATTACAGCTTTTTAGCCTTGACTCTGTTTTCGTCTCAACTGTAACCTATCATCATCATCCCCAGAACGCATTGCATTGGTAACAAAATGGTGACTTGCCAAAGTGAAAAATTTAATAAAAATTGAGACTTTAAGTAATTAGATGTCAAAAWCAACTTTCAGTAGAACAGTGAAATAACATTAAGGCTAACGTGTGAGTAGTCAAAGATCCCTTTAAGATTCATTCTGCAGGTCGAGTACCTTCTAAGCCCTCCAGTGGGCCTGCCTGTTATTTATTATTTTGCCTAAAGCCTCCAAGTGTTCACATTTCATGCCCCATGCACTCACGCTTCAAATAACTTGGACTGGGTTCTGATTAACTTGTCGTTCGGTCCGTATTCGGATAAAAGTTCAGATTTTGAGAATTGTTGGTGTAGAAATTTAATATCAGCTGATATAATGTTTCAACCAGTGCAACGAATTAAGCTGCTATATATGGCTGAATAAAGCCAGACAAGATGCTAAAGTGGCTCCTATATAAGAGTTTATCCAAATTTATCCTTGTTTCTGCAAACTCAGTATAAGATTTTTATTGAATGAAAATAAGGTTCTAATTTTTGATAACTGAATCACAGAACATCACTTTAAAAATAAACGTTTGATTAGTAATCTAAAATTTTAAACAAAAATATTTGACTAAACAATTTTGCACTGAGGTTTTATATTATTATTTTATGGTTAAAAGGGATGGCCAGAGGACAGTTTGTAGGTTGACTGGTGTGGTTGTTGACATCAAACATGTCCCAAATGGCAGAGAGAAATCGATTTGACTCATCGGTACAGATGCTCATTCCTCTGCAAATATTGATCTGTACAGAAATGACTTGCACGCTTCCGCTCACACACTGTCTACAATTCTGCATTTTTGGAAGATCTTAGGATCATTATGTTTACTCAAATTCAAATACTTCATTTCAGGATTTTTATTTCCCCTTAAAGGCATACTGTGTGATCCTGGTGTTCAAGATGAGGGTATAATGTGTGTATGTTTACAAGATCCTTTGGCTGCTATGCACAAATAGTAGTGACTGATAGCCCCAAAGTAAATAGCAATTTTAGGATCATTTTTTTCAACCTAAATGAAATGTTTATTGAAAAATAATAGCAATCAAATAATTACTTGTTGCACGTTTCATTAAAATCAAGGTTCATGAGATATTTTGCTAACAGATTCATGCACATAGGCAAAAACATTGCCACCTTTACCTTCAGCAGCTGATGACAAAGAGAATAAAACCAGTCTTGTGAGTGCATAAACGACCTGACTTATTTTAACCAGAGTAACAATCAGCGCAGTTCCAGTAAGACATCTCCAGTTTATTTTGGTGGTAATGTCTTTAAGGTGAGGTGCTTGAGACTGTCAGGATAAAGGTCTTATCTTGCATGCCAAGCATTCCACAACTCTGTCTGCCTGCTGGTTTTTCCAAGGGTACTACAAGTCAAACATTTAGGAGAGGAGCATCGTGAAGACATCAGAGTCACAGTTGGACACTAAGTTTGAGTCACTGTCTTATTTGGTACAGTAAAGACTTCCTGTTATAAACATTTTCTTATTTCAGCCATTTTCTCTATGTTTCTCATCTGAACAATGTAGGACAGATGACATGTTATCCCTGTATCCACTAGCAAACACATTTTAAAGAGATTGTCTAATCAGTGTTGGCTATTTCCACAAATTTAATGACAAAAGAGGTTAGGATAATTCACATTATCATATACATATACATATACATATACATATATATATATATATATATACACACACACACACACACACACACACACACACACACACACACATATATATATATAGTATTTTTTTAAAAAACATATTGTAAATTCTAAGTGCCAAAAGACTGAATTGATAAAAAAAAAAAAGAAATGACTAAGCCAAAATCAGCAGAGCAGCAGCTAAAAGCTACGATTACAAAAATTTAGTGAAAAGCTAAATGAAGCAAAGAAGTAACTTAAGGTCATAATGAGCAAAACAGTCACTAAAACCCAAAACCAGCAAAAGAGTAGGTAAGGACTTGAATTACAAAACTGTAACTAAGGGCCTTTCCCAATCAGTGGCTACACCCTCGCCCTACTCCCTACACACTACACTCGCTATGAAGCACCCTCACAGATGAACTGAGCCTCCTTGATGGCGCTGTAAGGTCTACTTATACACCCTCTGCTTTTAAGATGGGTTCTCCAAGCTCGGGCAGCGACTGAATGCTGGAGAACGAACGTTTTTTTTAATAGACCAAAGAAAATATTTAATTAGGCCCACATTTTAGTTTTCATATATGACTGTATTAGTAACAAACAGTGTCATAACTTGTCAAAACAATTGTACTTTTAACATTTTTAAATAATTTATTTACCTTTTTTTTCCTTTCTTCTTTTTTAAATATGGACCAGAGTTCTGTGTCTTTAAAAAAAGTTTGAATTGAACATAATTTATATAGTCTTTGTGAAATTATATTTGTTGGTGAGGTGTTTACTTAGTAAAAATGTGTACAAAACATATGTGGAACTTATATTTATATGTTCCGTACTCCATGCCGACGATTATTTAGTGCTGCACCTGCTGCTCAAGTCTGCATTGGATGCTGACTCGCTGTGGAGGGCTTAATAAGCCACTCGCCCTCGTACCTAATTGGTTTTGGATGGAACTCAGTATGGCCAACCCTCCACGGGCACACACAAACTGAGTGAGCAGTGAGAAGCGCGAGGGTGTAGCCACTGATTGGGAACGGCCTAAAGGTCATACTGACCAAAACAGTAGCTAAAACAACCAAAACAGAGAACAAAAGCTTATTTACCAAAACAATAGCTAAAGGTCATAATGAGTAAAACAGTAGCTAAAACCTAAAATGAGCAAAATTATAGCTAAGAGCCAGACAAACAGTAGCTAAAAGCTAAAACCAGCAAATGACTGGCTTAAAGATAATATTAGCAAAATTGCAGCTTAAAGCTAAAATTAGCAGGACATTAGCTAAATGGTCAAACAAGCAAGACAAAAATTACGTCTTAAGATCATTAAAACACTTGATAAAAGCTACAATTATTAGAACAATTGACAAGAACTAAAACTAGCAAAACAATAGCTAAAAGCTAAAACTAAAGTATGCTACAATAGATTTAAAAGCACAGAAAGCTTTTAAACAACGTAAATATTTATCCATCCATTTAAATAAGAAGCAACTTAAATAAAGTGAAATATTTAACATTAGGTCTAAAAGTTAAATCAACTAAAAGTCACATATGAGCCAAAGGTTTTGATACATGAATGGGTAAAATACCTGAAAACATGCTGAAGTAGTTAGTCCAAAAACCAAAAAGAAGAAACTATAAAGTTGAAAACAATAGTGTTAATGCTTATTCAGCATTAACACAACTAAAAAGTGTTTAAATCTAAACTTTTGCTGTCATTGTGTTTGTGGACTTCACTCAACTACAACTAGGGTGTAGAACACAAAGCTGCCTCGGGCTGGATAGCTGCACAAAAGTGACCTATTTTATTGCTCTCCCTGTGCTTACGAGTTTTAATGATGGATGTTTGAAGACATTCGTCCCTCTAACCATCGCTGTGTGTGTTCGTGTGCCATAGTGTGCTATTACATTTACTGTCCTTTCAATTTAAAGAGGCAAAACTTTACTTTGCTTTATTCATGTCTACACAAATACTCTTAGTGGCAAAGAGGGCCAAGTGATGAGAGTAACTGTAATTTTTGAAGCTGCATCATAAATCACAGCAGGGGACAATACAGAGAACTGGTGATAGAACAAAGCCCCAGCTGTGCTGGTGAAAAAGGATGGGAGAGAACCCTAACAAAGGACAACTGTGTACGTAGATGTGTGTTTTTTTTTTTTTTTTTTGAATTCCATCTACACCAAACAATGCACTGTTACTAAAAGACATAACACACTAATCCCAAATAAGACACATGTTTTGATGTTARCGTTATGAGTTTTTCCAAAGGTGAATTGAAAATGTTGAAACAAAACAAAGCAATAGGGACCTAACAAGGTTGAGTCAGGTCCTCTGGATGGGTTCTTTGTTAAAAAGTTGCATCTTTTATCAAAACCTCAGCCTTATAAGCAGTACCTTTGCATAGTGAATTAACCAGTATGAACAATAGAGGTGATTACTAATAAAGAAAGTTCAGTGCTTCAGCATTGGCATCCTTAAAAAACAATGAGGACAAGGAGCTTCAGTGATGAATTCTACGTTCATTTTTGTTTTGTTTCATAGCTCCTGTGTACAAAATTAGTCTTCAATATTCTTTCCAGAGTTCTATTTTTAAGTCTATCTGATGCCTTCAGGATATTCCTAAGTGGAATCCGTATTACCCCAGCATGCGTACTGGACTTCTCTAATGCTTCTGTATCTGTCTGAGAGTAAATACCTACAGAGCTTCTAATGGAATGTTTTGCCAGAAGGGAGGGGTTTGTTATTGTAGGATTATAACACAAAATTGCCTAATGAAAGGGTACTTCAACTAAAATATAGTCTGCTTGAAGAAGAGTTTTACCAACAAAGGTCCACTATGTGTGTGTCTGTCCAAACGTGTGTGTATGGGTGAATGAGAAACTCTGTAAAGGCCCTYGCCAAACCTTGAGAGGTTTAAAAATGTGATATAAGTAAGAAGACATTTACTGTTTTCATCCAATGATTACTTTCTGAAAGTTTCACTAAAACCCCATCAATGGTTGATGAGATATTTTGTTAACAGACATACAGAGTTGCTTCCAAATATTGTAGTTATTGGCAATACACACACATGTATGTGTATACAGCGAGTAAAATAAGTATTGAACACGTCACCATTTTTCTCAGTAAATATATTACTAGAGGCGCTAATGACATGAAA